AAAATGAGCAGCCGATATTAAGGGCTCAAGTAGAAAGCAAATGTTTTGAGAATGATGATGGCAAAAATGTACATATGTGCTTGACACATGGATGGATGTTTGGATTGAGATACGAATTGTACGAGCCCCCAATAAAATGATTTTTTTAAAAAAAAGATTTCATGAGCAGAAAAAGAAAAGAGAAAAAATAAAGAAGGGCATGCTTTATGAAATAAATAATTGTTCAAAGAGAGATGTAAATATGAGGGAGATGATAAGTCGAGCAGTTTGCATTATACCTACAAGTCATTCTGTATCGTTTCATTTCCATTCAAACACCAAATTTGAAAATGAATGCCTAGTTTAGGTCCCTTCCCTCCATGTGTCAAAGAGATGTGACATTGTCATAATAACCCCACTAACTAGCAGATCTTTCTCAAGCTGTATCTGGTGCTAAAAAGCCCAATTTCCTGGTTTCGTCAAGATTTTCACAAGGGAAACAAAGCTAATATGCTGTTTCCTAAAATAAAAATCCCTAGAAGAAATGATCAGCAAGGTCTTGTTGCAAGAAGTATGCCCTCAACTCCAGACAACCAGCTCCTAAATGCTGTGCATCTATGTAAATAGAAGCTAAGAGTTCAAATCATAAACCATGGGTGTTAAAATCAATAATTGAAGAAAGACTGGGGAGCTAAGATAAACTGGCACAGCTGGTGTGGAGATATTCCTTTGGCTGGCGCTCTAGGTTGGTAAAGGGTAGCTACAGTAAGGGTGAAAATCTAGAACATAAATTCTTGGAAGGGTTTGGGAGATCAACTGCAAGAGAACTAAAATAACCAGTGGAACTTTCCAAAATCACTTCATAGTTGTGCTAGTCCAAGTAGCCTAGAGAAACAAATCCATAGAAACTCATATGTATATAAGAGAGAGGTTTATATAAAGGGTACTTGTACATTAAGAAAGTCTCCCAACCCAGATCGGTCCAAGCCCATATGTCAGATAGCAATCTATAAAGTCTTCTTCAGACTCACAAAACACATGCAATGAAACCAAATGCAGGACCATCAAAGGCCAGTGGGTAGAAGGTCTTTGGATCCAGTGATGTTGTAAGCATCTCAGCATTGGCAGGGGTGGTCACTCCACATGGCCTCTCCAGTTCCCAGGGCATGGGGTCTATCGGCGTAGTGCCATGTGTCTTGTCAATAGGGCATCTCTCAGGGAGTCCAGAGAGAGAAAAGTGTCTCCTGCCTACAGGGAAGAAATACAGGGATTCCCAGAATCCTCAGAAGGCCATGCCCACACAGAGGTCTCATTGGCTGTGACCGGATTGACAGACTAGACTCCACCCCTTCAATCTGATTCCTCTCAAGTCCCAAATTGACACCAGATTATGTAAGTACCACAATAATAATAGTAATAGTAATCTCTTCTCACCTTTTTTTTCTTTTTAACCAACCACTGATCTAAACACTAGCATTTCACATGCATTAATTTTTATATTTTAATGTTGTCATTAGGTGTCATGGAGTCAGATTTGGCCCAGTGACCCTGTGTACAACCAAATGATATGCTACCTGGTCCTGTTCCATCCTCACAATTGTTGTTCAGCCTGAGTCCATTGTTCATATTTCCTCATTATAAAATATTATTGTTTCCATTTTACAGAGGGAGCAATAGAGATAGAAACGTTACAGAATTTGCTTAAGGGCATGAAAGTAACTTCTGGATCCATGCAGGATTTGTACCCAGGTCATTTATTAAACAGTGTCTCTATGGTCTTAAGCATTGTATCACAATAGAAATATGGTCTTTTAAATCATACGAGTATGAGATTGGATTTGAATT